CTCTTCCCCCTCCTCTGGACTCCGCTGAGCAGAAAATAAAATCACGTCAAATTTATTTAGAAAGTATATTTTAAAAACAGCAGCTGTTACCAAAAGTGTTTAACAGTAAAAATCAATGGTACGAATTAACAAAAACCTCTGAAGAAGACACTTCTTCTGGAAATAAGAACAAAAACGGAGTGGCGTCAAATTTGACCGGTTTTAGGAGTTCTGTTTTGTCATTTTTCAACAATGGACTCAGCGTGAGCAGAAGATGAGGCAGAAGACCACGGAGAATGTTGTTTTTCACACAAGGCAGCTGACGGCTCCATATGAGGTAAGAGAAATGCATATTTGTTTACCCTGCGCTGTATTCCACTTCCTGCTTGTGGAGCAGTGCCCAGTCTGTTTACATTCACACTGTACTCGAACTGTGCTAGTTCTCTTCTACCGGACCGAGACCTAGGTTTTTAGGCGGGCCAGAGTTCGCCTTTTTGTTCCGTGACAGAGTTCGATGGTGAGTGCACACCTCCCCAAATGAACCGGACTTCCTAGGCAAACGGACTAGAGGTCGGGACAACAGGGCTGGTGTGAATGCACCCTAAACCAGTTTCACAGACAGAACAGAGCAAAAGCAAAGTGGAGAGGGAGAGGAGGAGAAGACGTCCGCCCTTGACATGAGCAAGTGTTGAAGATTTATCATTCTGATAATGAACGCTAGATACTCACGGCTGAAAAACTGGTGCATCTTATTTATGTGCAAAATTATGTTTTTGCACATAAGATAAAATTATGTTTTATCTTTAAATTTAGTATTGTGCTCTATAGCACGGCAATTATGGTAACCAACAAGAGGACAGCACAGAGTTTATTTTAGACCGTTTAGTCTTATAATGACTCACTGTAAAAAAAACCTAAAAGTTCTGGTGTCGGTTTATCTGTTTATTTAATTCTGCAGGGTTACAGGGAAAATGAGGTGCACTGGGGTTTACAAGCCATTTCAGATCAAGCTCCCTGCATGTCACTTGGGAGATGAAACTTCACGAGGTTTCTCTTCACCAGTTCCATTTCCAGTCAAGACAACAATAATTACACCTTTGGAAAGTCTCCAAAAAAAAAAAATCTTAGAAAGAAACTGAAGACTTCCTCCTCCGCTTGGCGCCGCTCTGCACATTTTGATTTTTATTTTATTTTCCGCAGCCGACAGGTCTATACATTTTGATATGATTCAGTTACCTTCTGTTGTCTCAGGACTGTCAGGGATCATTAAATAAACGAGAATAAGTAATCATGCACATATTTGCTGCTCTCCACTGCAGGGACACAAGAAGAGCTGGAAGATACGCACCGATTACAGTGATGCGTTTCATTAAGGGGCTTTTTGCCTTTAGTTCAGCTCACAGCAAAGCAGACAGATGGGACAAAAGGCAATAATGGGTAAGAAATGTCTAAGGTGTTTTAGAGTATTTGACTGAAATGATCATTTTAAATAAGAAACCGCTTTTTTCCGACGCAGTCGCATTACGAACCTCTAAATGTGAAGCATCGTCTCAGCTGGAGGGTTCAGCTGCTACTGATCACAATGTTTTTAAAGAAGCTGAAGGCTAGTTTAAACTTCAGACTTAAGACGTAGCTGCTGAGTGGTTCATCTTGAAATATATGCTTTCAAATAATTAACGCATGTCAGGCATTCAAAGAATCCTTGATAAAGTTTTAGAAAATATCCTCGGCAGGTAACAAGTTAGTAAATACTTAAGTAAATAAATAAATAAGCAGGAATAATTTTTGCAGCTCACATTATGTTTTGTGTGTACACATTTTATGTAATTTTGTGTTTTTGAACGCTCATGTAATTTATCAATATTGTGCAATTTATCAAAGTTCATGCTCAATAATCCAGGTAGAAAATCCAACAAAGTTCAGTCAGGTCCTCTGGATGGTTTCTTTTTTTTTGGTTGTTGAGATGTTTGTCTTTCATCCAAATGACTTCATCAGTTCATGGAGTCACAAACAAACTCAGTCCCGCAAGCAGCACACTCCCATAGTGGACCAACCAGTTTGCTGCTGATAAGATGGTTTCTGGGGCCCACCCTCTCCCCCATCGACTCCTCTGAGACAGTTCAAAACATCAAAGTTCATGCTCAATATACTTTATACAATACACTGAACTTTGATGGGACTCAGTTTGTTGTGGCTCCTTGGACTGATGAAGTCATTTGGATGAAGGATGAAACGTCTCAAAACAAACAAAAAAAGTCCAGATTGTATAATTTATTTTAAAATATTTTCTCACTTTGTACTAAAAAGTCAAAAAAGCAATGCACTTTGAATCTACATACCCTCTTATATAGAAGCACGCAATTTGTAACGACATCCAGTAGATGATCAGCTAAAGGATAATTCCAGGTTTCTGCTAGTCTATTTTTCTATTTCCTAAGAACGTGTTCAACTGCTGGGGATGACACTGCTTTATTTGTCCTCCAATTCTCCACCTTCCTTTTTTTTTTTTATTAACCTCACAGTATGAGGAATCTGCCGTCATGTAACACGGACAGGACAGAAATGAGTGAAAAAGCAGCCAAAGTCCAAAAAGAAACTGAAAAGTCACCAGCAAGTCTGAAGAACTATTGACCAAGATTATCATAAAGTATTACAACAAGGTCTGGCTGATTGAAAAAAAAAAATTAAAAGAACGGGGGTGGTTTAAAACTTTTACACAACACAGAAAAGAAATGTTGGTGGACACATTGTTCCAAGATAATAGCTTCTTTATCCTTCACTATAAAATAAAATCCTTGGTATTCCGTTATTTATCATAAACTGTTTAAACAAAGGGGTAATTTCAGCTGAACCCGTGCACTGCTAATACGTTCGATCCAAACACAGCTCACTTTAATTACAGTCACTCTAACTGGACCTCAGTGTTAATGGAGTGTTGGACTTGGTGTGCAACATGCTCGTCTCTGTCACAAAGCAGATGTCTGAAAGAAGCTGTGAGGCGCTCTAATGCCAGACTGGATGCCATGGCTACAACAGACTGGTGAAACCTTTGTTGTGTACGCATCCCTGCAACAGGCGACAAACAAAGGTCTCTTCGGTTCAGGGGTCATCAGCAAAAGGTCGCACTTATACATAACGTCGACAATCACCTGTCGGGCACGTCTGCAGGGTCGGCGAACGTCTGGCTCTCTCGTCTTTCCGTGCGATGCACCGTCGGCTCTGTTAAACCCGGTCCTTTCAGCCCAATCAACGTGATGAATCAGCGCTGGGTTTGTGAGGGAGAACGCTCCGCCTGATCGGCTGTTTGTTGTCGTTAATGAGCTTCGGGCATTAATCTGACGTTGACTATTTTATATTTCACACGAAGGCAAAAAAAAAAAAAAAGAAAAAAAAAAAGAAGCAACTATTGAGTTGCTAATTAAAAAGGAAGAGAGGCAAACACGCCTGACCGAGATACAACTTTAGTCTGAAATACTAAACACTGTGACCTGTCTGTACACAAACGTGGATTTATTTACAGTTTTACTTTACAGATTAATGAATGAACTCCTGCTTCTGTTTGCAAAGCAACCGTGCATCCTCTAGTATCTCGTAATCAGATGTTGTGTTGTGTTTAACAGCTATTTTTATGCTCTGATGAGCGACAGCAGAGGGAAATTGTATTAAAGCTCGCTCTTGACGTCGGTTTGGTCTTTAAGAGCGAATAAACTTACATCGTCATAAGTTTAAGATAGTAACAGAGGTTTAGACGCTACTTTATTTTCTCAATAGGTTCTTTCTGATGCTCACTTGGAAAAACTATCACCAAACAGGCCTCATATTGCTGTACTTATTCACCGACTCCCCCTACACATATATTGACTCTCAGCGATTGAAACTCTGACACAGTACTTTCAAAAACACATGAATTATACTCTGTAATGAAATGAATCTTTAATTTTTACCATTTTAAAAATCACCCACAAGTCTACCATTTAGAACAATCTTCAATTTTATGTGGGTGAATGTTTGAATGTTTATAAAAAAAAGATTAAAATAAAGTAACACCAAGAGCTTGAAGTGGAAAAATAAATGCAAACTAATTGCAAATACAGAAACGTTTAAATAAAATTAACACCAAACTGCAACTGTTTCTGATGGGACAACTTGTGATGTTGGAAACCGGCGCTTAATTTGAGCCGGATCCTGCCAGAACAGGATCTGGGAACGCTCAGGCTTACCAATAATAAAGTTTTGAACAAATATGATTGTGTTGAACAAATAAAACTTAAATTGGATATGTAAACTTAAAATAATTACAGTATATAAACACTCATTTTAAACACAACAGCCACTCATCTGCTTCTTCAAGTCAAGCATTTCCACCTCTACCTCTACAAAAACATCTGCCCCTAAAAGAGTGGTGGGGGTGGGTGCCTGGAGGTGTCACATGTGGAGTCGGACAATGAATTCAGCGGAGAAGAGTCGGCTCTGAACCATCAAGTAATGGGGGGGGGGGGGGTTACTTACAGTATGTAGGTAAACGTAGATGTTTAACAACCCGTTAAAATACACCAAAATGCAGGAAATCGCATCAACTTTATTCAAAATTTTTTGGGGAAGGACCCCAAGACCCCCCCAGCCAGCTCGCGCACTATTTGCGTTCCGGCATCGATTGGTTTACAAATTAAGACCTGATGGAAACCATAAGTAAATTTTGTAAAAGTAAATTTTGCGTTTGTGCAGGATATGAGCAAAAGAAAAGTAACAAAAGAGGTAAATAATGTCCACCGGACTCTCGTGCTCTCTTTCAAACGAGGAAAACAACTCATCAGTACCCAAAGCGGAAACATCATCTACACGAGTTTGTCTACAAGTTAACAAACAACGTGAGGTTGTTAATCTTGAAGTCTTTGCATGAAACAGTTGCAACTGTTCAAAATGAGCCTCAGATTATCATCAGTTAAAAGAAACGCGTCAAGATGTCAACAGGTGCTGCCTCAAACAAAACCGAGCAGGGAATCTGGTTGTGATCTACTCACCAGCTGGTACTCGGAGCGACGTGCGTAGGCCTCCTGTATGCCGGCGTCTGCCCAGAGCGCGCACAGTGCCATCACGTACAGCTGAAACTCGCCTGGCTCCACCCCAGAGGCGCCCACGCGCCCCTCCCACGACATCACCAGCATGCCCTGCTTCTCGTTCTCGCAGCTCTGCCAGCTGATGCCCAGTTTGTCCCGGGCGTCCACCAGCACACGCACGCCCTGCAGACACAGAAACGTTACGCACAGTCAGAGCAGAGAAGCAGCAGCTGCTTTTCTACAAGTCAGCAAACACACAACGAACCGCACATGAAATTAAAACTGCAACAGATAAACATACGGTAACTTTAACAGAAACGTGCAAGAAGGTGTGACTGGGGGGTTGTTTTTAGGAACTACATAATCTGATCTGGCGTGCACCTACATAAACAAGTTCTTGCTTATTCATGTAGGCTTTCGTAATGTTACGAGAACACAAAATACATAATATCATTCTTAAACCTTGTGATATCACCAATAAACAAACAAATACTGTATTATTTGTATCTCCTGGCCTTCTGTCAACTTTTACAGTTCTCTTCTGTGAGATTCAGCCTCTTTGTCCCATCATCTAAATCAGTGGTTCTCAAATTTGGGTCCCCGGACCGCAGGGGGTCCACGAGCCAGTGCTTAATTAAGGGTCCACAAAAATATATATATATATTTTTTTAATTTTCTTACAAGCATGGAGATGCTTAAAACCCCATAAAAATACACCAAAATGCAGGAAATCGCATCTACTTGTACTTTATTCAACATTTTCTGGGGGAGACCCCACCCCACCCACCCACTATTTGTGTTCCAGCATTGATCAGTTTACAAATGCAGCCATGTTACTTGGTCTGACTACTGCTGTTCTGTTCAGTTTTATGTAAAGAGTTTTCTGTAAATATTCGAAGAAGTGGCGATACATTTATTATAAATAAAAAAAAAAAAGTCCATGCTCAACACTCCAGGTAAACAATCCAACATTTTTCAGTCAGGTCATCTGGACAGTTTCATTCTTTGTGCTGAAACGTTTCGCCTTCGATCCAGAAGGCTTCATCAGTCAAGGAAACACACAACAAAACGGATTCTTCCCCCATTCTTCCCTAATCCCACATTTATTATGTTCATTATGTGAATAGGTCAAATTTTAAAGTGGTTTTGATATTTGGTAATTTTCTCAAAACTGTAATTTTTGGAAATTGAAATTAAAAATTTTGTTAATTGTGTGTTGAATGAAAAATACCCCATGTTTCAAAATATTAAAAACTGTATTAACACTATTAAAGAACAGGTCTTTAAATATTGATGTTACTCAAATATTTCCATTGGATTAAAGAGACAAATTGAAAAAAAGTTATTTAATAAACATGAGGGTTATAAGTGGGTCCCTGAACCCAAAAAAGTTTGACAACGCCTGATTTGCTCTTAGTATCACCCCAAAGCTCCAATTCAGCAAAATATTAGACTGTTTAAAACCATTTTTTAATGGATTGAGACCGTTGCAGACAACGTGGCACTGCAGTCTTAGCATGGATGTGTGTCTACATGTGTGTGTTTAATCTGCCAATGACTCACGACCACCTTATCTCTTTCCAATGTCAAGTCGAGTCAAGTTTATTTGCTCAGCTTAATCTCACATTCAATAGGTTTTGTACGCCCACAACATCAACATTACCTGATCCAGTCCAGTTCCTTTTCTCTGCAAATTTAAGAAATCCTATAAAACCTTCCCAAACGACCCGGGAAAAGATTTCCCTCTTAAGACAGATGGGTGTGCAACCAAAAGTGTGAGTAAAAAGAAAGGATTTGCTGGTTAATGTGATGTATGTATGTGTGTGCACGTGTGTGTGCATGATCTGACCGGAAAGTCCTTCATGACTCATGGGTGTTGTGTGCTTCTGAAGCTAATCCCACATCCAAGAGCTTTTTGGTCAACGTGAACGTGTATTTTAGTGTTTTACGAATAAATGAGATGGATAAAAACCACAAGTGAGAAAATTACACACCAGTGTTCAGAGTTAAAATATTGTGGTGGATACGTTGGTCGTAAAAAAACAGAGGCAAAGTTCACGTAAGCAAGCACTGAGCCTCATCCAGACTGCAGTCTTTGTTATTCTACGTCTACTCACATGCCCCTTATTGATTTGCTAATCTCAGCAATCTGTTGCGTAATCCCTCACAGTGATGTCTGGCGCTCTTCCTGCTCACGTGGTCAAACAGCTGTTTGGTTTCCTGTTGGTTAGTGTCCGTTAGGCCTCGTAACTTCTTTTCGCCCGTTGAGAAGTAATCTGTCCCACACACCAATGTGAACAAGTTGATGTTTTGCGGAAACGATCAGCTGATCGCAGTCAGCTTGTGGTGTCGGGAAATATCACATGATTCCATTCTGTTTAGGAGGCAGTGAATCTGCACGGAGGTGGTCACGGGTTACTGAAGGTGAGCTGGACGTGTTTGTTGTTCAGCGTTTGAACGCTCTGACAATTACAAACACAAACAAAATGCCTTTATTTGCTACGTTGTGCAAATCAGAGCCAAAAAAATAAAATCACATTAAAAATAGGGTTATAGATCAAATATATCCAGAACAACAGTGCACCACCTCTATTAATCCCGAGGAACCTTTTCTATCAAACAAGGGATTTGATTTGTTAGACCTAAACTTGACCTCCATTTTTTTTCTATTAACTGCCATTTCTTACCGCATTACTGAACAAAACAACTTAATAAAAAAAGATTTATGTCCTGTCTGTGTTCTTCTTTGTGGGACTATTTTCCACTCTTAAATCACATGAAAATAAATAAATAAATCCTGCTGTAAACTATTTGGTGCTTTGAGTTGATTTTCTCACAGTTTTGTCCTTCCTATAACCCCATTTCTAACAAACTTTGCTCCGACTATAATTACGAGACACGCCAAGTAAAAAGGAAACATGATTTTGACAGAGAGATTATCTCACGTGTGCCCATAGCAGCCCAGAGTGTCCGAATGCTGGAGCCTAAAAACATGAATATCAAAAGTCTGAAAAATGATGATTTCTAACAGTCCTGGTGTGATCAGCACCATTAGGAGCAATTATCTTCAGCAAATGGCAGATTGACTGAGCCCTGCTACATTTGTCACAGTGCGGTAATTATCAAGCAGCTCTCGTCCGGCGTTAATGTTGCCGATGCAACAACTCATGCATTTTGTCACCAGGGAGCCCATGTGAAGCATCGGGCTCCGGGTGATGCAAACAACAAAAAAATTGAGCATCTTTTTATGGTCGAATACCAGGATTTCAACAAATGATTCAAAGACTGACAAAAAAAAAGTCAGCAACAGATAAATGAGGGCTGTCAGATCTGACAGAGAAGATAACACATACAGCAGTCCCTCGATACTTCGCGGTTCAACTTTCAAGGACTCGCTCGTTTGCGTTTTTCCACTTAAGATTGTACACAACGCACGATTGTCAACTTTCTATTACTCACGTGGTTGGGACGGTACGGGATAAATAAGTTTACAGGAGCGGACGGGAGCGGGAAAGGAACCAACCAATAGGACAAAAAAAAAAAAACTTCAGACAGGCACCACCATTTTGTAGTTTTCTTTCAATAAGCCTACACTGTAACGCAAGTCAAAAGAACTACACAGCCCAGAAACTAACAGGGTTTCCAGCTGCTGCTTTCTATTGAAATTTAAAGAACAGCAACGGAGGGAGCAAACACTAGCGGAGAAACTGATGTGGTAAAAATAGTTTTGCTACGCAGTCAGATGTAACGATCTGCTGTATCTATTAAGTTCACATAAATAATCCTGAAGCTGAACTCATACTTCAAGTTGTAGTAGTTAGTAGCATCTTCACTGGTGAGTACCCATATAAAATTTTGCAGTACTGTACAGTAGGAATGCGCAATATAAATGGTATACGGTAGAAATTATAGAAATTTAGCCTACGATAGAGATCTGTCTTCTACCGGCTAATCGCAGTAATGCTGTGTCTGATGTAAAATCAGAGTTGTCAGATTTAATCGTTACTTTTTTTTAGTTGAAACTGTGCGCAAGTGGCGTTAAAGTCTTTTCTTCGAGAGCTAAGTAGCGAAGCTACAAGCTAACTGGGCCGGCTTGCCGTAGTGTTGCCGTATTCTGACGCATGCGCAAAACGCTGTGTTCTGTCGAAAGTCTTTTTTCTCCGTCGAAAGTTCAAGTAAGCGTTCATGCTCAATATACTTTATGCATTGTTAAAATGTAAAGAACATTGTTAAGAACATTGCAAGAGCATGGGAAGGGTGTATAAAGCCTTAAAACACAGTGGTCCCTCGCTACTTCGACTTTCGCGGACTCGCTCTATCGCGGTTTTTCAAAATAAAATTGGACATGACACACAATTGACTGATTGATGGATGAGACGCATGATCGTATGGAATTTTTATTTAAAATAAATTATTTTAGATTATTTAGCAGCTCTGCAGCAGAGAAGTGGGCGTGGCCGAGAGCGTTGGGCAGGTGGCAGAGTGCAGCGGGAGGCAGAGAGCTGAAATCATGACATGCTGTGCTCTTTTAGAGCGTT